GCTGGTGGCCCGGGTTCGGATCCCGGGTGCGCATCGAGGCACCGCTTCTCCGTTCATCCTGAGGCCGAGTCCCACATACAGCAACTAGAAAGATGTGCAGCTACGACACACAACTATCCACTGGGGCTTTGGGGGGAAAAATAAAATAAATAAAATCTTTAAAAAAAAAAAAAAACTTTATTCGTTATTGTAATCTTAAATATTTTTCTTTACTCATTTATTTGTTTGTGTCACTTTTCCATGTGAAAATGTTTTAAAACTTTGTGTGTAGTCAAACCTTTTTAGATAATTGCCTCTCCTGCTTCATTGCTCAAGAAGGCAACTCCTTGCTACATTTGGGTGGTCAGGTAGTTTGCGCTTCTAAATTCCCATGATTTTGCAGTTTCGTCCTACTTTCATAACTTAAAATCTGAATTTAGCCCTATAAAGCTTTCCTTTCCTCATGGCATGTGGCATATTACTGATTAGATTAGAATGCTTGATTAGAATGGTCAACAGTAAAATAAAAATCAGTTATAATTAACTTATAGAAAACTTAATGCTTTGAAAATATGTACCAGTTCCTTAGAGTTCTTGGCATATCCTTTGTGTGGCTCTGCTTGGACTTCTGTAAAGGAGGTGTTCTGCCACCTTGTGGACAACATTGAAAATTACATCTTTAAAGAAATTGACATTTCATTTGGAATCATTGAATTGCATATAGCTGGAAGTGACATTATAAATGATCTAATGGGCCTCCTTAACAGGTGGAAAAAAGTGAATCCCAGAAAATTTGAGTAAATGTCTTTCCTAGGGTCACACAGTTAATTAGTGGTGGAGATGGCATTCAAAAGTAGGTCCCTGGGGCCTGTGAGCAGTTCATCCTGCTGTCTTCTCTCAGTGTATAACAGATCATTTTCAGGATATTTGTGAGGAGACGTTCTTAGAACTGCTTTTAGAACATTATTCTTTAAAATCCATGATAAAGGAACTGGGTAAGGAAGATTGTATTATCCCAAGCATTAAATTCTCTGGGTTTCAACTTCCTCATCTGTAAAATGAATGTGTCGTCATCTCAGAAGTCGCTTCTGGTCCTGAGGAATTTGAAGAGTCCACGTGAAATGTGGCAGTCCTGATCTATGGCATCTGGAGATGAAATAGTTCAATCTGATCTCTCTCCAAATCTGAGGAAGGAGAGAAAGTGATGTGAGCCAGGGCTGGAGACAGGCAGCTGGCTCCCTTTTCTGAACACACGCTCCACCTGTGCCTTGCACCATGCTAGGCACTTACATGCAATTTTCTTGTAAACACAAGGCATCGTGGTGATTTTCCCCAGATTACAGATAAGAAACTGGTTCTTTGAACAGGTTAAATAATTTGTTTTATCACACAGCTAGTAACTGGGACTCAAACTCAGATGCATTTGACTCCAAAGCCCAAGAAAGTATCATCCTCCCCCGT